ACGCTTTTTTTACCATAAAAAGAAGTGTTCCAGATATTTCCTAAACATCATTCGAGAACATCGCGAGCGCTTGGAAATGGACGGAGAGCCTCGTGATTTTATGGAAGCGTATCTGAGGGAAATGGCCGTGCAGAAGGACAATCCACATTTTAAGTGAGTTGGCTTTTCAAAATTTGGAGAGGATTTGAAGAAAATGAGGTGCTAACGGGGTCAAGAACAAAGTTGTTAACGGCTCAATATCAATTGAAGCGCAGTAATTTGCACATAACTTTCTTATTTCAAAAACTGTGAGCGGATTATTCACACGCTATGAGATTTTGCTCATCAAAACTAAGAATCGAGAATACGGCATACATAGAAAATGTTACCGTTCTTCGTACTCATTTCGATATCATCTTATTGAGTACATCTTAGAAAAACTGACGTTTTCAAACCTTTTTAGGAAACTTGAACTCATACTTCTCGCCATCAAAGTCCACATATCATTAGAATGAACCAAAAATTGTCTAGGATAAGTTGATCACTTTTTTTCACAAAAATTCCACTTGGAATGTGTTTTTTAAAGTTCAGTCCTGGTATTCCCATCTAACCGAGTACATAAACTTCGTTTGATTTTTCTTGTAACCTTCTTTGATTGATTTTTGCTTAAAAATATCTGTTTTCTCTCAAAAGAATGCGTGCTGAATGCAGCACGGGCGTACCAAATAAATAGCAAATGTTCAAATTCAATAAATAAATAAACAAATAAATAAATAATCCAAGATCACTACTATATCATTTGTTAGCGTTTTCACCCTTGCACTGGCTTCCGGCGATCTTTGGACTGGAGGGATGGAAACCACAGTAACGACTTTACGTTGGGGAATCGCCTATCTACTTTATCATCCAACGGTGCAGAAGAAATGCTATGAGGAAATACTCAAAGTAAGAACTGTTTTTCAAAACTAAAATCCTCAAAATTATTTTTAGATTTTCGGCGACGAACAGCCATGTTATTCACGCCGTAAACAACTTCCTTATGTGGAAGCTACAATAGCTGAACTCCAACGTGTAACAAACGTTTTGCCATGGGCTATTCCTCATCGGTAATGTCTCTTTATTTTCTAAACTCTCCTGCGAAGTTATTATTCTTTGCAGGACCATGGAAGATGTAGAAATTATGGGATTCCATCTGCCGAAAGGTACAGTCATATTACCACAGTATGGAACTGTACATTGCGATACACATTACTACCCGGAGCCTGAAAAATTTAGGCCGGAAAGGTAAACAGGCTGATTTCCTTAGTTATACCATTA